CCAAAAATTGACAAATGTAATTGATTGTGGTGGGTATTAATATTTTTTGAAGTAACAGTATATTCTGAAGCTAATGTTTGTTCACAATTTGCAAATTGATGTTTCAATTCTTCTATGGCCCTTTCTCGAATTTCTTCATTCCAGTTAGAAAGCATCTTGAGCCGGGGATCCAAAAGGGATGCTAATAAACCAATCATTATTGGTTTATCCCAATAATCAAATAATGAATTATAAATGATATGACGCATTGACTTAATAATCAAGGAATTTTGTGAAGAACTATTAGCTAGATTAGTAGTAGTAACTGTATCGTGATGCGATGAAGATTCTGAAATATCATACTCCAAATCTTCACTATCATCATCAGATGACTCTTCATGGCAGAAATTAGGTATATCTATTTAACAAATATTTTATTTAAATTATACAATAGTAGGCTTTATATCTTATTAAAAGAAATGCAATTAATCGAATTAATCGATTAGTTTTAAAATTGACAACTAATCGATTTAAATTTTGCAAACCCAACTTAGTTGATTAATTGACTTTGCTAATTTACATGTGTTTACTTTATTATTTTATCAACTAATTAATTAGTTGTCCATTTTGATTAATCTATTACTTGACTAATTGATAAGTTAACTAATTAATTAGTTAATTAATAGATTGGTCAACTAATCACTTAGTTGAATAAAATCGATTATTGTGGTTTGCAAAACAATGTAAAATTTGCTGATCAAAAAAAATCAAAAAAATCAAAAGAAATCGATGATTTCTGATTCTGATTTTTGATTTATTTAACTAAGTTGTAGATTCATTATTTATCTTACCTTGTTCTTCATTTTGTATATCGCTTGTCACCTCAAATCTAGCAAATGTATATTTTAGAGCCTGTATTAAAGGGTATATAATCGATAAGGTAGCGTATCGTGAGCCACTAAAATAAGTTGTGGCATCATCAAATGGTTCTAATAACTCAATAATTTGCTTTAATAGATCCCATTCATGTGGTAAAAGAAGTAGGTTTTTTAGTTTTTGACCATCAGCTCAATCATTTGAATCATCAGATAAAGGTAACATCAAGCATAACTATTCAATTGCTTTACACAATTTAAGTAGCCGTTTCCATGAATGGTATTTTGAATTCCACCTAGTTTTTATCTCAGCTATATTTCGTAAAACAGGTTGTTCAGAATCTACGGCATTTGCTGACTGTGGACTATTTAAATCGCTATCATCAGAATTTAATATATTAGTAGAATCAACATTACTTTGAATTTGTTGTTGTGCTTCATCGAGACGTTCACTTTGCTTCGGGGACTCAGTGAAAAATTTAACTAATTTTTTTATTTTTTTAATATAAATATTTTTTATTTTAAAAGCACAAGCAACTGAAAGTTGCAAAGTATGGGCTGCACAAGGTAAACATTCAACTCTTTCCTACAATCGAATTGCTTTAACTATATTACTTCCATTATCTGTTGTAACGCAAGTAATTTTTCCATCTAACCCAAATTCTAAAACTTTTTTTTTTAAAATAGTAATAATCTTTTCAGCTGAATGAGGATATGTTATATGTTTTACACACAAGAGGCAGTCATATACTTTAAAATCACTAGACAACCAATGGATTGTTATACCTATATATCTGTGTTTGCTTTGGGCGGTCCATAAATCGGTTGTCAAGGATGCTGATTCACATGTGTCATTTATTAATTTTTTTAAATTTTCAACTGCCATAGGATAACTATCATTAATTATTTTTTTAATTCTTTTATTTGAGGGAACTTGGAAGACTGGATCAACGATTTTCATCATCTTCCTATAACCTTTTCCATTAATTATATTAATCGGCAAATTATCAACGATGATCCATTCAGCAATTGCTTGCTGAATCTCTTGGTTCCGTGGTTCTCTATCCGGCTTAGTTTTTGTCCTTTCAAAAGTTTCTGATAATGTTTGTTGAACTGTACGATCTTGGTTCTATATAAGTATAGTTATTTATTATTAATATTAATTGTGTTATATATTTAACAATAATTAATAAAAACTAACTTTATTTTTATTTTCACATAAATTGTGTTTATTTTGAAGATGGCTGCTCATATTTCCTGTACTACCATTGTGTAGATATTTATAACCACATTTAACTTTTTGGTTTTTTAAATTCATCACTTCAACATCACACACATCGTATTGTTTATCTTTGCTCAACTTAAAATATTTCCACACCCAACTATTTTTTTCATAATTCCGTCTATTTGTTTTTCTTTTTTTTGTTACAGGAGGTTGATTGTCTACACGAACTGCAGAAACAGCTCTACTACTAGAACTAATCGATAGATCACTGGTCTCGTGATAAAAAGAAGAATCATCCTCAGGAAGTCATCATCTTTAGCAAATTCATCATTTTCAGGAAATTCGTCATCCTCCGAAAATTCATCATCCTCAAGAAATTCATAATCCCTATAATCTCCAGGAAATTCATTAAACTCAGGAAATTCGTCATTCTCGAGAAGTTCACTATAGATATTTTCATCATTCATTATGATAAAAGCAATTATGGTGAATTTTTCAAGATAGGATATATTGCAATTTTTGCTTTTAATCAAAATACGTTAAAAACAAAATCACAAAAAAAAAAAAAATACGCTACTTTATTTAAAAAATTTAATTTATATTTTTTTTTATTTATTAATAATTAATAGTATATCTATCTTGGGTAAGAGAAACGTACAAATTACGATCATATGAATATTACATATCAGAAGCCTTTCAAAGGTAATGTATATACAGTATAAGTGGCACAAAAGAAAAATGAGACATTGGTTTATTAATAATAAACCAATATCTCATTTTTTCTTGGCGTCGCTTATATAAGCTATTTTAAAGATTAACATGTTATTCAAATACCTTTTTGCATAAAATCTTAAAAATAATGTGATTGGCGTTATTTTGAAAGCTGGATTCTTAAATAGCCTGTTTGATTTCGAAATAACTCCTAAATTTCACATTATATAACAATGAATTTGAAATAGCATCAACGTGCAAATTACAATAATATGAACATTACATATTCAGAAGCCTTTCAAAGGTAATGCATATATGAGTGACACAAAGAGAAAATGGGACATTGGTTTATCATTTATTATTTAAATAAATAATGATAAACCAATATCCCATTTTCTCTTAGCGTTGCTTATATAAGGTTAGGAGTATTTAAAGATTAAAAATGTGTATTGATTATATTTTAAAAATTGTATTAACTTGCTATTCAAATACCTTTTTGCCATAAAATCTCAAAAATAATGTGATTGGCATTGTTTTGAAAACTGGATTCTTAAATAGCCAGTTTGATTTCAAAATAACTCCTACAGGCATTCTAAAAATTGCATGTAAAATGGCTGTTATTTTACAAAGCACTTAGCCATTCATATGCTTCGTTCACCTGCTTAATTAGTGCAAGTTATAGTGTTGGATAGTCAAGTGTGTATGAACCAAAAAGAAACTGGTGTATCATTATGCAGAATTATTTGGATCGTGACAATGATCATGCATATAATAAAAATTATTGCTATTAACAGCTAATTTATGCAATTCGCAATTGTTAAATTATTCTTACC